CATACCCCCCCCCCCCCCCCCCCCCCCTCCTCCACATTGTGATGAGAACAGCAGTGCACACCCACTCACACGTACCTGATGCAAATAAGGGAGATATGTCGTCAGGTAAACATTAGGGAGGGGCTGGGTTTGGTTAGTTGCCATGCCAACTCAATGTGTGTGTGTGTGTGGTGTGTGTGTGTGTGGGTGGGGGTGGGGGTGGGTGTGTGTGTCTAACCTAATCTGATTGTCATGAACATGTAATATCCATCGGCTGTGTAGTCTGCACTGGCAAACAGGAAGCACCTCTCTCTCTCTCTGTAGTAACATATAGTCTCTCGCTCCTACCTCCTTAATGAATAAACTATTAATAAAACACTTCAGCCGACCTTCAGAGGTCATACTCATGGTTTGTTCTGGTAAAGTGTTTGTTTATTTGTTAACAAATAGGCTTTTCTCATGTGTATATTTGTATAACATCTGATGCTGTCTTACTGTAAACAGAGAGCACATTTTCATCAGACTATTGGTACCTGGTGGGTTTTAGAGAACTGTATAATGCTATAAAGGTCGTCATGGCAACACAGCAGTGGGTGACAGAGCCAGACTTCCTGTTTGGGTTCCCTGTGTTGGGGTTTTTCCTGTTTGGAGATAACATGTTTCTCCCTGTCTGGCCTGGTTTCCTCCGAGACAACCCTAACCCTGCATTACATGACAGTACAGCACACATTTACATTACAGTACATGAGGTGACCTTACATTATATACAATTATATAACATGTTGCATTATGTTACATACAACAACAACAATTAACAAACAATAATAACACATCCTAACAGACAGTGGTCCATAGTCAGTAAAACTAGATGAAAACAAATCCCAGTCACTATTTGAATGGTGTGGTGTTGTCTTCATTTCTCTCATAACTATATAAACATTGGTATCAGTGAATTGGTGTATGTATACGTGTGTATACTCTTACACAATAACCCATATCGCCACCTTGTGGCTGAATATGAGCATTTTACTCATGTATAGTTTAAGAAACATTTACCCATGACAAAAGCAGCTGGTGGAAATGTGTTGTTGTCCCTGAAGGACACAGCGGGACAGGAGCGCTACCGGACCATCACCACCGCCTACTACAGAGGCGCCATGGGCTTCCTGCTCATGTATGACATCACAAACCAGGAGTCATTCAACGCCGTCCAAGACTGGTGAGTTGAACCTACAACCTACCTAATGACCTGTCTCTGTACTGTCTAACCCCTACCTGCTCCTTAACGACCTCTCTGTACTCTCTAACCCCTCCCTGCTCCTTAACGACCTGTCTCTGTACTGTCTAACCCCTACCTGCTCCTTAATGACCTGTCTCTGTACTGTCTAACCCCTACCTGCTCCTTAATGACCCGTCTCTGTACTGTCTAACCCCTACCTGCTCCTTAATGACCTGTCTCTGTACTGTCTAACCCCTACCTGCTCCTTAACGACCTCTCTGTACTCTCTAACCCCTCCCTGCTCCTTAACGACCTGTCTCTGTACTGTCTAACCCCTACCTGCTCCTTAATGACCCGTCTCTGTACTGTCTAACCCCTACCTGCTCCTTAATGACCTGTCTCTGTACTGTCTAACCCCTACCTGCTCCTTAATGACCTGTCTCTGTAGTCTAACCCCTACCTGCTCCTTAATGACCTGCCTCTGTAGTCTAACCCCTACCTGCTCCTTAATGACCTGTCTCTGTACTGTCTAACCCCTACCTGCTCCTTAATGACCTGTCTCTGTACCGTCTAACCCCTACCTGCTCCTTAACGACCTGTCTCTGTACTGTCTAACCCCTACCTGCTCCTTAATGACCTGTCTCTGTACTGTCTAACCCCTACCTGCTCCTTAATGACCTGCCTCTGTAGTCTAACCCCTACCTGCTCCTTAATGACCTGTCTCTGTACTGTCTAACCCCTACCTGCTCCTTAATGACCTGTCTCTGTAGTCTAACCCCTACCTGCTCCTTAACGACCTGTCTCTGTACTGTCTAACCCCAAACAACTGTGTCTCCCAGGGCGACGCAGATCAAGACGTACTCGTGGGACAACGCGCAGGTGATCTTGGTGGGGAACAAGTGTGACCTGGAGGACGACCGCATCGTCCCCACAGAGGACAGCCAGCGCCTGGCGGAGGACCTCGGTGAGGAGGCCCTAATATACGTTTATATACATAATATACATAATGTGATATGCATTCATATACATAATATACAACATAATATACGTATATATATATATATATATATATATATATACATTTAGTGGATGCTTTCACCGACAGCATCAATGTATTCACACAGGTATTAGCATGGGTGTCCCCAGTGGGAATCAAACCCCTAACCCTGGCAGCGCTAATGCCTTGCTCTACCAGTGGGAATCGAACCCCTAACCCTGGCAGCGTTAATGCCTTGCTCTACCAGTGGGAATCGAACCCCTAACCCTGGCAGTGTAAGCGCCTTGCTCTACCATTTGAGCTGCACACAAAGCGTCTGAGTCTCTTCTGTGACCGTCTGTGTCCAGGCTTCCAGTTCTTCGAGGCGAGCGCCAAGGACAACATCAACGTGAAGCAGGTGTTCGAGCGGCTGGTGGACATCATCTGTGAGAAGATGAACGAGAGCCTGGAGGGGGACTCTGGTCTGGTGGGGAACCACCGCGGCCAGCCGCTGCAGGCCGGCCCTGCGGAGAGCAAGGGAGGCTGCGCCTGCTGAGGGCTGTTGATATCTACACACACACACCTCGCCACCGCCGGAGACCTCCAATACGCACACACACACACACACACACACACACACACACACACACACACACACACACACACACACACACACACACACACACACACACACACTCCCTCTTCTGCCCAACCTCATACATCCATAGAGACGCATCCCATAATCAATAATGGAGACATTCAGTTAACAAATTCTCTCTTCACTGGTGATGGACTACAAATTCAACAAAATTCCTCACTTAGCAGTTAGCGTTTTATTAGGACCTACAAAAAAAATCTTCTGAGCAGGACTGCACTAGACAGGTGACTGTTTCAGGAAGTGGTGTTGACACCTGAAGTGCCCCGCCCCCCCCCCCCCCCCCCCCCCCCCCCCCCCCCACCAGCATGCCTTGCTCCCACGATGCCCTCCGACATGTGCCTTGTCCCCGCTTTACACGCGTGTTACATGCGCCAGTACAGGCGCCGCCGCATGCAATCATGCCCCTGATGCCTGATGATAGGTTAGCATACAAGCTAACCTGCCGAATGATGCGAAAAAGTGCAAACGTTGTGTCTTTGTTGTGCTGTTTTCTGTCTACACATCCTGAAAGGGAACACTGTACTGTGGGAACGTGTGGCTACTCCATACACTTCTGTAAGGGAGAAGATCGAAGGTCACCTAGGACCTCTAGGACCTCCGGTCGAATAATCCAAAAATGTACGTCCTATGTTTTTTTTTTACGCCCTTTTCCTTGACCTCCATGGAAAACGTCGAGGTCAAGGAAAGATGTGAAGGAGAATTCATAAGGACTTAGGAAAAGAAAACCGCGGCGCGAAGATAATCCGACCGCTTACACTCGGATGATCTGGACGCGGGTCTGCTGGTGAAACTACAATGATCCCAAGATAACTTTATTGACAATGTCCCAATGACAACTCACATTTATCCACATGAACCCAACGAGTTTGATTGTATGAAAATGTTCGGCTCGCAAATCCACTGCTGTACATATCATCATTCTTAAGTTTCAAACATGTTGATCGTTTGTTTTCGTCAACAGTCGAATGGTGCGTCGCTTTAAATGTTGCTGCCGCAAGGAATTGTGGGACGGCATTATCTCCTTTCCTTTCGTAAAGGATGGTCCAGTGTACCCTATGCTAAAGGAGATAAGGAAGGAAGCATTGAAGCACCTTTCCTTAGCATTTAGAGAATTTCGACCAGCTCTTATTATGGCTGATACTCGGATACTTCCGGGTTGTACCTCAGTCAGGGTGAGAGGAGGTGCTGGGTTGTACCTCAGTCAGGGGTGAGAGGAGGTGCTGGGTTGTACCTCAGTCAGGGGTGAGAGGAGGTGCTGGGTTGTACCTCAGTCGGGGTGAGAGGAGGCGCTGGGTTGTACCTCAGTCAGGGTGAGAGGAGGTGCTGGGTTGTACCTCAGTCAGAGTAACAAGGAGGTGCTGGGTTGTACCTCAGTCAGGGTGAGAGGAGGTGCTGGGTTGTACCTCAGTCAGGGGTGAGAGGAGGTGCTGGGTTGTACCTCAGTCAGGGGTGAGAGGAGGTGCTGGGTTGTACCTCAGTCGGAGTGAGAGGAGGCGCTGGGTTGTACCTCAGTCGGGTGAGAGGAGGTGCTGGGTTGTACCTCAGTCAGGGGTGAGAGGAGGTGCTGGGTTGTACCTCAGTCAGGGGTGAGAGGAGGTGCTGGGTTGTACCTCAGTCGGGGTGAGAGGAGGCGCTGGGTTGTACCTCAGTCACAGTGAGAGGAGGTGCTGGGTTGTACCTCAGTCAGGGTGAGAGGAGGTGCTGGGTTGTACTTCAGTCAGAGTAACGAGGAGGTGCTGGGTTGTACCTCAGTCAGGGGTGAGAGGAGGTGCTGGGTTGTACCTCAGTCAGAGTAACAAGGAGGTGCTGGGTTGTACCTCAGTCAGGGTGAGAGGAGGTGCTGGGTTGTACCTCAGTCAGAGTAACGAGGAGATGCTGGGTTGTACCTCAGTCAGGGTGAGAGGAGGTGCTGGGTTGTACCTTAGTCAGGGGTGAGAGGAGGTGCTGGGTTGTACCTCAGTCAGAGTAACGAGGAGGTGCTGGGTTGTACCTCAGTCGGGGTGAGAGGGAGGTGCTGGGTTGTACCTCAGTCAGGGTGAGAGGAGGCGCTGGGTTGTACTTCAGTCAGAGTAACAAGGAGGTGCTGGATTGTACCTCAGTCAGAGTAATGAGGAGGTGCTGGGTTGTACCTCAGTCAGGGTGAGGGGAGGTGCTGGGTTGTACCTCAGTCAGGGTGAGAGGAGGTGCTGGGTTGTACCTCAGTCAGGGGTGAGAGGAGGTGCTGGGTTGTATATGGGGGTATTATTGAGACAATATTATTTGTGTGTGCGTATCTCAATCTGTGTGTGTGTAATAAGATTTGTGTGTATTCACATTTGTGTGTATTCACATTTGTGTGTGCGTAATAAGATGTGTCTGTCTGTATTCACATGTGTGTGTGTGTAAAGAAATCTGTGTGTCTGTATTCACATTTGTGTGTGTGTAAAGAAATCTGTGTCTGTATTCACATTTGTGTGTGCGTAATAAGATTTGTGTGTCTGTATTCACATTTGTGTGTGTGTAAGAAAATGCGTACTGAGATCTGTAAATGTCTGTCATCAGTTATAACTCAGGCGGGAGCTCTGATTGGCCGTCTTTTTACACGTGGATTTTGGCACACTTCTGCCGTGCAGATCTGCAAATTTGCGATCCGTGTGTAAAAACGATTCGTCTGTAACTTCACGCAATACAGTCTACACACCACTAGTCGGCGCGCAGCACCCAGTGATGTTAAGCGTGTCATTGTCATGGGTAAGATGGCTGCCGTTAATGACACTGGCCATTTTAGATAGAAAATATAATATAAACTTCGAAAAACTCATGGGTAAGTTAACGTTTGTTTTCCTCATAAATAAACGCATTGTAAAGCCCATGAGTTGTTCTAAGTTTCCGACGACCGGCCAGTCTCATAACGGCAGCCATACCCATGACAATGACACGCTTAACATCACTGGGTGCTGCGCGCCGACTAGTGGTGTGTAGACTGTATTGCGTGAAGTTACAGACAAATCGTTTCTACACACGGATCGCAAATTTGCAGATCTGCACGGCAGAAGTGTGCCAAAATCCACGTGTAAAAAGACGGCCAATCAGAGCTCCCGCCTGAGTTATAACTGATGACAGACATTTACAGATCTCACACACAAATGTGAATACAGACACACAAATCTTATTACGCACACACAAATGTGAATACAGACACACAGATTTCTTTACACACACACACAAATGTGAATACAGACACACAAATCTTATTACGCACACACAAATGTGAATACACACAAATGTGAATACACACAAATCGTATTACACACACACAGATTGAGACACGCACACACAAATAATATTGTCTCAATAATACCCCCATAGTTGTACCTCAGGGTGAGAGGACGTGCTGGGTTGTACCTCAGTCGGGGTGAGAGGAGGTGCTGGGTTGTACCTCAGTCAGAGTAACAAGGAGGTGCTGGGTTGTACCTCAGTCAGAGTAACAAGGAGGTGCTGGGTTGTACCTCAGTCAGAGTAACAAGGAGGTGCTGGGTTGTACCTCAGTCAGGGTGAGGGGAGGTGCTGGGTTGTACCTCAGTCAGAGTAACAAGGAGGTGCTGGGTTGTACCTCAGTCAGGGTGAGGGGAGGTGCTGGGTTGTACCTCAGTCAGAGTAACGAGGAGGTGCTGGGTTGTACCTCAGTCAGGGTGAGGGGAGGTGCTGGGTTGTACCTCAGTCAGAGTAACGAGGAGGTGCTGGGTTGTACCTCAGTCAGGGGTGAGAGGAGGTGCTGGAGACCTTGTCTTGTTTCGCTGTGCCTATAAAGTATTCACTTCAACATGTGCAGAGAGCTGAACTGTTTACGTTATATTATCCACCAGAAAGAACTGAAGGAGTCAACTCCTCAACTTCAGATGTTTCACCGCCGAGAGCGGCGACAGTTGACCGCCGTCTTCGCTGCAAGCATGGCCGCCATTCTAGCCGCCAAACTTCGCCAGACGTCGCTTTGCCAAATGATGTCCTCCATGGGGGGCCCAAAGGTGGACCAACACCCGCCAAAAAAAGCAGTCACTCCCCCTCTATTGTGTGAGACGCGTGGTCTGTCCACCGCTGATTACTGGAGTGCTGTTGATGATGTCATCACATCATCTGCGCTGGCCTTTGGACCCAAAATGGCCGCACTGGACGCTACCATAGAGAGGGTCGTTCTGGAGTTGTGCGGTGAAACGTCAGCCAGTGGCGTCTAGCGGTGTGAAAGACGTTGGTCGGCTCGGCGTTTGGTGGCGGTCCAGATGAGTTCCTCGTATGTCAGCAGAGAAACCGCAGGTTGTCACGCGTGTTGGAGCTACTCCCGGGTTTTTTAGACTCTGTTGTTAGCCTCGTTATGAAAATTATATTTAGATAGACATGGAAATTAAATGTGTTTTTGGTCTGTATGTGAAAAATAAAGAATCCATTCATGAAAGTGAATTTGCCACGCATCACATTTCTTTTCTGGTGATTTGTGTTGTACATTTTAAAGTTTACCGTCCGGGTCCTGTGGCCCCACCGGCTTCAGGGGTATAATGTTGAAAGCGTCTGTAATTTATGGCCAACCTCCTCTGTCCCTCAACACCGGGCTGAGTTGAGGTTTATCACAAGAAGCAGACAAGCCACAGTTTGTCAACCAGAACAATACAACCCCCCCCCCCCCCCTCCTCCTCC